TTTTAATGTTTTCATTTATTTTTGAGACACAGAGAGACAGAGCACGAGCAGGGGAGGAGCAGAGAGGGAGGGTGACACGGAATCCGAAGCTCTAGGCTCCGAACTGTAAGCACAGAGCCCGATGCGGGGCTCGAACTCACGAACCGTGAGATCATGACCTGAGCCGAAGTCGGACGCTCGACCGACTGAGCCCCCCAGGCGCTCCCACACAGGAGCCTTCTAACAGGCTCTCCCTGCCTCAGCGTCTGCTCCCTCACGCCGTCCTCCACATTGTAACCACGGTGGCGTCTCTGAGGCGGCATTCTCCAGCCTACGCTGGCCTCCCTACTTCTCACAGTCCCTGATCCGGACCCTTCAGAACAGCACATCCTCTCACCCCTTGTTCACTTCACTCCCCTCCTGCCTCATCTGCTACCCACCCCTTCCCGGCCTCTGCTCTCACTCCCTGGCCACGCCGCTTCCTTGAAGCGTGAGCACCCTGCCCTGTGTTCGGTGAAGGCTTCCTTCCCCCGCCCATCCTGACAGTGACAGCTCCCGCTTCTGTGCCCTCAGTGTCACGCGTCCCTAACGGTCCTCCCAACCCCTTATCGGCCCAGGCCCCACACGCTTCCTTCCACACTGTAGTCGCTTGCTTTACTGCCGGGCTGTCTCTCCCGCCTGCCTGTGAACCCCAAGCGCGGTGCCCCTCAGGCCTGGGCTGGGCAGCCCCTCCCGGAGCCCCACACTTTAGAGGCCCCACCCCCCTGGAGTCTGGCGTCCCAAGGGCGTCCCAAGCCTGCCTGAGGGGCGGGGTGGGGGGATGTGGAGTGTGGCCGGGGCTTGGCCTGCAGGCTGGGATAGCCCCACGGGTGGCCCGCGGTGAGGAGCGGGCTGCGGTGGACGGAGGACGACACCCCCCGTGTGTCCCCGTGTGGAACTTCAAGGAACCGGGCGATTCTCAGCTTGGATCTGGCTTTCCAGACTATCAAGAAGGTGTCGTTTTCCGGGACAGTGTAAGAGTTCATTCACTTGATTCATAACTTTTAGAAGTTTAGACGCACGGTCTGTGGGCCTCCATCTGAGCTCTGGCTCCAGGCCTGCAGACGTCAGGGGTGAGCCTGACGGCGAATCCGCTGGCTCGGCTCGTCCTCACATGGCCCGCCCTCAGCCCAGCGCCTGGCACGCGGTGCCCCCCCGCCTCCCCCCCCACCCCCGGCACGTTACCAGCAGGCGAATGCCAGCATGTCTTTCTCACTTCAAAACTTACGAAGATTCTAACTGAAAAAATATATCTTAGAAGGTACCTGTTTGATGCCGACGTTCTTTTCGTTTGTTTGTTTTCTTGTCTTTTTTTTTTTTTTTTTTTTTTTTTTTGGTGGGAAAGATACTTCTAAAATCTAGCAAAAAGAACTCCATAAATATAAAGCAGTGCCTCACATTTTGTATGGGGCTTTATAATTTTCAAAGAACTTTTGCACCCACAGTCCGATCTGCTCTCGGAAGATATTTCTGTAAAGTGGGCATAGGTGATGTCCTTAGTCTGAGTTAATAGGTAAGGCGGTTGCCCTTCAGAGAGGTTAAGCCAAGGATGCAAGTTCTCAGAACAAGGGAGAGTGAAAGCCCACGACGCCGGGCCTTGGGTGTTTGATACCTGCTGCCTTTATTCAACAAGCATGTTCTGTTCCCCAGCAGCCAAATGCACTTTAGAAAGTAATCTCTCTCTCTCTCTCTCTGTTTCTCTTCCTCTCTCTTTTTATTTTTTTTCCCCAGTGCTTTTCCACACAACGGCCAAAACATAGGCCTCTCCCCTTTCCTGGGGACCCTGAATACCGGGGGGTCGCTGCCAGACCTAACCAACCTCCACTATTCTGCGCCCCTGCCGGCCTCACTGGACACCAGTGACCACATCTTTGGTAGTATGAGTGTGGGGAACAGTGTGGGCAACCTGCCAGCCGCCATGACTCACCTGGGCATAAGAAGCTCTTCCGGTAAGTGCCGTCCACTCACTAAGGGCCGCACCCGTGTAGGTGCCCAAGTGGCTGAATCACAGGTGGCCCCCAGCCAGGCGGCCTATTAGTCGTTCAATGAGAATGACTGCATCCGACTTAGAGATAGTTACATATCGGTTCTGGTAGCTCTTGACCCCTGCCAACGTTTCCCTTTGGTGGTCTGTTTCTGCCGGGTCGGATGGGCTCTAGCACACTGGACTAAACCTTGTCCTCTATCGTCCTCACCAGCCCGGGTGTCCTGGGACTGGGAGAGTAGGATGGGAGAGTCCAGGAAAACAAGTCCTTTCATTTCTGTGTTCACTGAACAATGTCTGTGGCTCTTAATCAACGTATGCTGGTGGTTTATAATTACGGCTCGCTCTCTAGATCCCTCTAATTTCCCATGGGATTTCAAAAGAGAATACTTTGAATTTTATTTTTATTATTATTATTATTATTTTAATGTTTATTTTTGAGAGTGAGAGCGTGAGCTGGAAAGGGGCAGAGAGAGTGGGGAACAGAGAACTCAAGTGGCCTCTGGTGACAACAGAGAGCCCCACACGGGGCTTGAACTCGTGAACCGTGAGATCATGACCTGAGCCAAAGTCGGACACTCCACCCAGGTGGATGGACGCTGAGCCAAAGTCGGACTCTCCACCCAGGCTCAATCAGTCGATTGAGCCTCTGACTCCGGCTCAGGTCCTGATCTCACAGTTCGTGAGTTCAAGCCCCACGTCGGGCTGTCTGCTGTCAGCGCAGAGCCCGCTTCAGATCCTCTGTCCCCCTCTCTCTGTGCCCCTCTCCTGCTTTCTGTCTGTCTCTCCCAAAATAAATAAATAAATTTTTAAAAAAAAGGATAAAAAAAAACATTGCCATGATGAGACTTGGTTTACTGTACAAGTTTGAGGGCCCGCAGCTCAGATCCTATGTTGGAACACGACTGAATTTACTTGAACCTCCACAGACGCTCTTGTCCATGCCTGAGGCAGGTATTGACCCCGTACTCCCAGTGGTGCGGTCCACCCCTCCCGCTGTAAGGGTTCCCAAGAACTGTGGTGTGGACCGTTCACCCTCTGGAAGGGCTCCCCAGTGACTGTGGTGTGGACCGTTCCCTCTGGAAGGGCTCCCCAGTGACGGTCCACCAGTGGGAAAGGGCCTGCTGGTTCACGCAGGTCAGAATTCACCGCTCACAGGAGAGAAGTCCCCTTTAGCTTGGGCAGCTGGAAGCTTTTCTAATGCTCGTAGCAGTGCAGCCACTGTACCACAGAATTTTAGAGTTGATTTCAGAGATTACCTTTATTTACTTACTAAGATCATTTCATTATCCTGCTAGTCTACTTTCGTGTGCTTGCTGGATTCTGGAGGTACAAGGGCATCCAAGGTCACCTAAACAAAGCAGCATCAGCACTTAGCTCTGTGGGGTCTTGGGGCAGCCGGGGCAGCCCTTGGCACTCTGCTTCAGCTGCAAGTCCTGTGTTCACCACCATCCTCTGTTTTCCTCAAAAAAGTATTATTTTGTCCAGAACATTGTCAGACCCGATATCAAGTATTTATATAATTTCTAGGTACTCCTTAAAATGCATGTATACAAGGCTGTACGCGTTTTTTGAAACATCTTTGAGCTTTCCCTCTGAATGAGTGGATTTGTTTTTTAACCTTAGTTCACATCTTTAGCCCTGATTCTTGAGCCAGCTGGATCTCGGGTCTTTCCATGGAGACTTGCACTGTGCAACAGCTACGTAGGGTTTATCAGAGACGTCTTCCCTATTTAAAATTTTTTTTCTATGTTTTTATTTTATTCTTGAGAGAGAGAGAGAGACAGAGTGTGAGCAGGGGAGAGGCAGAGAGAGAGGGAGACAGAATCCGAAGCAGGCTCCGGGCTCTAAGCTGTCAGCACAGAGCCCAACGTAGGGCTTGAACTCACAGACTGCGAGACCATGACTTGAGCCAAAGTCAGACGCCCAACCGACTGAACCACCCAGGCGCCCCTTCCCTATTTTTTTTAAAGTTTATTTATTTTCAGAGAGAGCATGGGGGAGGGCCAGAGAGAGGGAGAGAGAGAGAATCCCAAGCAGGCTCCAAGCTGTCAGTGCAGAGCCCAGATACAGAGCTCGAACTCACGAGCCATGAGATCATGACCTGAGCTGAAACCAAGAGTCAGACACTTAACCAACTGAGCCACCCAGGTGCCTCTATTAAAAAAAAAAAAAAAAAGCATTTTCCAGCAAAGAATGCTTTGTCATTGCTAAATTATAGTAACTTTCATTTAACACCGATTTTTTTTTTTTATGAACATAAAAGAACACACAGTTCTGCTCACCCCACCTGCCAATACCAGAATGATGGACTGAACCTTGAAACACGGCATTCCCATTTGAGATGCGTGGTGGCATTGTTAAGTCACGGAGCAAGAAAACTCTGTGCCAGGCCTGGCAGGACGCAGGACACGGTCCTGGCCTCATAGAACTTATGGCCCAGAAGCCTGTGCCGTGGAAATGCCTTTTCCCAAACTCTCTTGCTCGTGCTAAAATTCACTACCCTTCCCCCCAAATGACACGAAGAACCGGCGAAAACTTCATTTTCCTTGAATTGGAATAGACTGCCCTTAAAGATTTCCGGGGAGCCGGAAAAGCAAAGAGAAAGCAGGAGACATGGGAGGGGGTCCCTTCCTGTGATCCTCTGGGGTGTCCAGGGTATTGACAGGGTCCCCGCCAAGGCAGCGCCCCAGAGCCATGACTCTCAGTGAAGGGATGCTCTCGGAAGGCAGCGCAGAATCCGGGCAGGTGCCTGGGACAGCGCGTTCGGGGGCTCTAACCAGAATGTGTGCGCAGACCTGGGGTCTTTTGGCCTGGTTGTGGCTGAGCACACACACCCCTGGCCTCTGTCCAGCCCGCCCAGCGGCCGTTTCCACGCTTCCCCGGGAGTACGACTCACTGTCACCCTGCGGCCACCAGCTCTCAGTCCGAGTGCATCCTTTCCCCACCACGGGCACGTCGGCCACCAGTGCGCTTAGGGGAGCCGCCAGGAGCTCCCCATGGGCAGAACCGGCATCGAATACGGAGAGTAGGAAGTGAAGCTTTCTTTCACCTCAGGGACACGAAAGATTGTGGCAAGTGACGTGTGACTCTGTTGTCCCGTAGGCCTCCAGAGCTCTCGGAGCAACCCCTCCATCCAGGCCACGCTCAGCAAGACTGCACTTTCGTCCTCCCCGAACAGCCACCCACAGACACCCGCGCCCAGCGCCTCTGCCCTTCACCCTTCCCTCCGGCTCTTTTCCCTCAGCAACCCGTCTCTCTCCACCACGGCCCTGAGCGGCCCCTCTCGGCGGCGGCAGCCCCCGGTCAGCCCCCTCACGCTGTCCCCCGGCCCCGAAGCGCATCAGGGTTTCAGCAGACAGCTGTCGGCCACCAGCCCGCTGAACCCCTATCCCGCCGCCCAGGTGAGAACAGACTCTTGGCCCCGAACACTGAGGCACGCAGGGCCTGGAGTCGGCCCACCCTCCTGGGTGTAGACCCCCAGGTCTCAAATGCAGTCGGCCCTCTTGCACGTGCGGGAGAGAGCAGAGTGGGAATAGCTCAGCGCTAATCACTCCCTAATGGCACATTTGTTGTGAGGATCACGGTTTCCAAACGCACAGATTGCAGGCACTAAGTCACAAAAGCTGGGGTTTGGGGAGAGAGCTGGGGTTTGGGCGTAGAGAACCCAATGTAGATGTGTCTAGGATGGGTAGGGGAGACCAGGTTGGGGTTTTTTTGTTTTGTTTCGTTTTTTCTTTTTTTTTCTTTTTTTTTTTTCTTTTCCTTTCTTTCTCTCTCTCTCTCTTTATTTTATTTTATTATTATTTTTAAAATTTACATCCAAGTTAGCATGTAGTGCAACAATGATTTCAAGAGTAGATTCCTTTGTGCCCCTTAACCATTTAGCCCATCCCCCCTCCCACAACCCCTCCAGTAATGCTCTGTTTGTTCTCCGTATTTATGAGTCTCTTCTGTTTTGTCCCCCTCCCTGTTTTTATATTATTTTTGTTTCCCCTCCCTTATGTTCATCTGTCTTGTCTCTTAAAGTCCTCGTATGGGTGAAGTCCTATGATATTTGTCTTTCTCTAATTTCACTTAGCGTAATACCCTCCAGTTCCATCCATACATATATATGTATATATATACATACACACACCACATCTTCTTTATCCATTCATCTATTGATGGACATTTGTGCTCTTTCCATACTTTGGCTATTGTTGATAGT